GAACTGAGGTTGACTATTTGAATTGTTCAATTCAATCCCTGTTAAAATATATCCAAGGGCAAATTGTAATATACACAAAGGCATTGGTGACTGGTGACTTCCATGCTGGTAGGGTGATGAAACTTCTTACTTTGAAGAACCTGTTCATTTTACTGTACACCTCTGTAAATAGGTTCAGCACCTTGGACAATTCCTTAGATTAAACTGGAATTCAGATTATATACACTGCTCTGCTGATATGGGAACCACTAGCTGTAAAAAGTGTACATTATAGGGCATAGAATCCCTCCATATGTGATGAAGCTTATTACATTTAGGTATTTTCCTATGATGTAATAAATGCTGGGGAGCGATTACTAAAAATGAAGGACAAGTGCTGCTTATTGATGCATGTGGCTTGTTATTTCAACCAGGATGAACAAGATGTGGTCCTCAAGGGCTGTTTTTGCAGTCCCCAATTTCCCCAGACTACAATTTTGGGCAATCTTAATGGGGCTTCCTAGGACTTCTTTCATACACACATCTGGTGTTTTCAGCCAATGTGAGTGTTGGAAAATATGAGAAACCACTTTAACAGAATAATCAAATTGACAAGGCAGAAGCTGGACAAGAATTAGTCCCACATCCATCTACCCATACACAGGGTTTAAAAAAGAAAGCATAGTGTTCTTAAAGTAGTTTACTTGCAAATTACTTGTGCACAATTGAACACATGATCTAATAGAGGAAAGGGAAGGAAACTAAAACAGCTGCAGATTTATAATGATGCAGGAAGAGAGTGGGTGTGTCTAAACAAACAGGAAGTTACCATCAATATATATCATGCCTAAACACCAAAGAGAAATATGTAAGCTATCAGTTAATGAGTTATAGGCATGCAAGGGTCACTTATTCTAACAGTGAAGTCAATTGTGGAAACTGGAAGGTGCATCGAGGATCAAGTAGTCTAATGACTTGACAATGCAGAAATCATAGCTAAAGCATTCAACAAATGTCCATCTCATCTCTGTTTAAAAACCTCCAGTGAAGGAGAATCCATCAGATTTCAAGGCAGCGTGTTCTACTGTTGAACAACTCTTATGATCAGGAACTTATTCATATGGGTTAGAATCTTCTTTCTTGTAATTTTAATGCTTTGGTTCAGGTCTTTCCCATTGAGGCTTGCTGTACCTTCCACAAAAGAGCCATTCCAGTTTTAGAAGATGGCTATCAAATCACTGCTAAGCCTTTGCTTGCTTCTTGAGGCTAAACACACCCATCTCCCTCAATCATTTTGATAAGTCTTGGCTTCCAGACACTTTGCCATCTTACCTTTCCCTGGACATATTCCATCTTATCAATAACTTCCTTAAACTCTGGTGTCCAGAACTGGATGCAGGACACCAATTGACATCTGAGAAGAATAGAATGGTTTTATTACTTCCTTTAATATGGACATTCTACTTTTGTTGATGCAGCCTAGGATTGCATTGGCCTTTCCCCCCATGGCATCACACTTTTAACTCATGTTTAGTTTGTGGTCTGCTAAGAACCCTATATCTTTTTCACACATAAACTGTCAAGCCAGGTGTCACCCAGCATATATTTGTGTATCAGGTTTTCTTGTTTCAATGTAGTACCTTAAATTTATCCATGGTGAAATGTTGATAGTTTTGGCCCAGGTCAGCAGTCTGTTAAGATCACCATGAATCCTAATTCTGTCTTCTGAGATATTAGCTACTACTCCCGTGTTGTTGTTCTCTTCTGATTTGATGAAATGTCCTCTGTTCCTTTCATTTATAAACATGTGAAATGGATACTCAGGTGACAATCTTGGATTCCCTGGAACTCATTCAAATTCAAGTTCGCATTGATCACACACATGAGGCCATTTCAAGGCTCCCAAGACTTCTTGTGAGAAAAAGTGCACCTTCTGTTAGAAAACTGTACATTTATGAGACCTGTAGTACATTTTGTATGCATGAAATCAGACATATATTTACAAAAAAATATATAGAATGGCTAAAAATGCATATCACTGAAAAATATAGAGGAAAAGACATCAAAATGTGTACATTCAGAAGTGTCTATAAGTCATCATTGTGAGCCTTCAAGTTGTTTCCAACTTATGGCAAAACTTGTTGAGGAGGGTTTCCCTTTGCCTTCCTCTGAGGCTGGGAGAGTGAGACTTTCCCAAGGTGTCCCAATGAATTTCCATGGATTAGAGGAGATTTGAACTCTGGTCTCTAGAGTCATAGTCTAACACTCAAAACCAGTATAGCACACTGGTTCTCTAGCAAATGTGCATTTTATGGAAAATGAGTATGTAGAATGTTCATGAATGAACATGCAGTAAGGGAAAACAAACAATGGCAACCCAGAATCTTGTACTGTGATACAATTACAGGGTGAGATGGAACAACAAGGAGAGATTCCAAGAAACACAACTGTTTTTTCTTTTCTTTTCTTTTCTTTTCTTGTCTTTTCTTTTTTGGCATCCCTGTGTTTGGCCTTTTCCCTTACCAGTTGCCCTCTTTCTGTTGAAATTTGTTGAATTGTGTGTGTTGTACACTGAGAAGGGAGAGACACTAGATGGCAGAAAAGGGCCAAGCAGAACCTGGTATCAGTTCTACAGCAGTGTCTGCAGCCCCTATCATCATTACTACTAAGGACTAAGAACAAAAGAGATAAGTTGGGGAGAGCAAAATTTATCTGAGCACAGTACCAGAGTGGAGCACTAACTCTTCCACTAACCTTCGCTGTCCTCAATCCAAGAGACAGCTTGCATGGAGATGGCAGAATTATGGGTTTAGTTGGGGCCTCTCACTCTTCTGTCAAGTATTCTCCCCCCACCTTCTTTCTCGGTGTAGATGCATTAATACTATAACTTCAAGAGCAAAGAAGGAGGGTGAATTTGAAAGGTCTTCCCTGGCGTCTGCATCTATTTCAGTGGCATGCTTAAGAAACAGGGTGGGACAATGTGAAAAAGTTGTGTGAGTTGAAAATTGATGGGATGGCAATAGAGTGGGTGTTAATAAGGCCATTAATGTCCCAAAAATAATAAGGACACAGATTTGTACAAAAATTGCATATGCTAATTAATAGGTATAGATGGAATTTATGGGAGGAAATGCTGGCATTTCAATACAGAAATGCAATACATGCCACCACACTGGGGAAGATTAATTGGATGACATTTGTACATTTTGCCGAGTCTAAAAGCAATTTTTGATCAAACCTAGAGTAGAAATACTGAATCTTTTACCCCACTCAGAATGAAAGGCTATATGTACAAGTACTGGTGTACTCCTGGAGACTTTGAGCATTGGACTAAGACTCTGGGAGACCAGGTTTCAAATCCCCTCTCAGCCGCAGAAACCTTTTTGATGACCTTGAGTAACTTATAGTCTCTCAGCTAAAGAAGAAGGCAAAGGAAAAACTCCTGTGAATTCATCTCACCAAGAAAACCGTAGTACAGGGTTGCCATAAGTTGGAGTTGACGTGAAGGGAAAAAGCCAGCAACAACTAACTATGCATGGGCAAATTCAGAAGTTCCAATCTGTCATTATGGTTATTTATCTTCAAACTCAAATTGGATGATAGTGTTTCAAAAGAGGATTGCCTATCCATGCTTTCACACCAAAGCCTGCAAGATGGCTACTCTACCTGCTTGGTCTTTTATTGTTTTAATCCCTGCCATCCAGCAGTATTAACCACACTTGGTATCAGGGCTCCATAAATCATAATTTGACTGAGAGAGCAACTGTGTTTTAATCCCAAAACATAATAATAATAATAGTTTTTATTTGTATTTTACAGAGAAATATAGAAAGATACAATATATAAAATACAATATATAAAATCATAACAATTTAAAAAAAAAACCCCACAATCCATATAATAAATGATCAAAGCAGATAACTCAAGATAATAAGCCAAGCCACAGACCATGAGATAATTTCCCAAATGTTTTATGACCAACTATAATCCTCCAGAGAGTTTGCACTGCATTTTACTTAATTCAGGGGTAGGCAACCTTTCTCCTTTAAGGGCCGAAGGACTTCAGCTCCCAGAATCCCAGGAGCTATTGGCCAACATGGGACTATTGGCCAACATGGCTGAGGCTTCTGGGAGATGAAGTCCCTCGGCCCCTAAAGGGGAAAGGTTGCCTACTCCTGACTTAATTGCTTGCTATTGTACTGATTTGTTTAGGAGGACTATAGCTGCCCAACCTTGCTTTATACTGTTGAGGAGTGAAGCAGCTAGAAGACATGTTACAAGGCACACATTTTAGGTGTTATACTGGCAATAGACAGGCATGCTGGCAGGAAACTTAGATAATGTGCTTGCTGACAGGCAGGAATTGTTGAGAGAGCTAAATGGAGTCTGAAGTTCAAGATTTCTGCATTGCTCTCAGGGCACAGCAAGGGGTGTAACCACCTGCACAACTGCAGGAATTCGATGCTGCTTAATTCCATCCTCTAGAATACTGGGATGCCTAGTTTAGTGAGGTACTTAGAATTCTCTGAGACAGTTTCCAGAACTAAAATGTTACAGCTCCCTGGCAAAGAATTCTATATATCTCTTATTATGTGCCACCAAGTCAACCTATGGCAGCCCTATGTATAAGAGACCTCCAAGACTCCCTTTCATCCATTGCCCTGGTTGGGACTTGCAAACTCAGGGCCATGACTTTCTTGATTAAATCAATCCACCTACAATATGGTCTTCTGTTTTCCTACTGCCTTTCACTTTATTGAGCATTACTGTATATTTCATTGAGTTCCATTGTCTGATGATATGTCCAATGTATGACAGCCTTTAATAAGTGTTCATGCTTGATTTTCTCTGAGACCCACTCATTTGTCTTATTGGCATTGTATCCATAGAACTATTATCCAGCATATGCATTTGAAATGAGTTGATTTTCTGTCAGGTTTCTTCAGAAGGGGTTCGCCATTGCCATTCTCTGAAGCTGAGAGAGTATGACTTGCACAAGTTGAAAGAGTGTGGCTTGCCCATGGCCATGCCAGGACTTGAACCCTGATCTCCACAGTCATAATCCAATGCTCAAACCACTGTGCCACACTGGCTCTCTTTTTGAGAAGTGTGTTTGTGTGTGTATTTATGTGTATGTGTTTGTGTGTGTTTGTATGGAGCATACACATAATTTTAGGGATTCTTTCGCTTCCTTCCTTCCTTCACCCCCTCCCCCCAAAAAAAAATTAAAGCAAAGAGTCTGGGAACATTGCATGAGAGCTTTATCCTTACGCACCGGAGAGTAAATGTTCCAGACCATTAAGTGCCAGCTGAAACCCACTTTGTCTTTGCACGGTGGCATGACACAAAAGCTCTTCATCGAGAAAATTGTCAGCTCTCATCTGGGGAAGGAAGCTTTATGTTTAAACACACCCACACAGAATATACAGAAGACAGAATGAAGATGAGAGAAAGGTGTATCACAAGGAATCGTGCTCCCAGGTGCAGCTTAAAGGAAATTGCAGTATCGGGTGTATAATATGAGTACCAGGACTCAGCACATGGGAATTGTGATTGCATTCTCCCATGTGGCCACTGGAACTTTAAGGATATAGGCATGCACATTTGGGCTGAAAAAATCTAAGAGCATGTGCAATGCGCTTGTGCATTTGCAGGGCTGTAACTATGGGTGGGGAGTGGGGGCAAAATGAGGGCATTGCCCCCATCATGGATTTTTCTTTCATTCCCCAAACCTGTAGCAATAGCAATAGCAATAGCAGTTTCATTTCTATACTGCTTTATAGTGCTAAGCACTCTCTAAGTGGTTTACAATGTGTTAGCCAAATGCCCCCAACAAGCTGGGTACTTATTTTACTGACCTGGGAAAGGATGGAAGGCTGAGTCAACCTGGAGCTCTGCATGACTGAACTCACAATGTTTTGGCTGAAGTACTGGCATTTAACCACTGCACTACCAGGGTATTGCAGAGAGTGTGACATTGACAATTGTTCTTGTCTAGAAGTCTTGGATCCCCTGTGTTGTCTCTCTCTTGATGACTTTGCCTACCTCCTTTCTTTGGATGCCTAAACCCTATTTCTAAGTGCTCAACTAAAGTTTTAAAGTACTGCAATGCTAGAAATAAGTGCCAGCATGCTGTAGTGGTTTGAGAGTTGGACTATGACTCTGGAGACCAAGATTTGAATCCCACCTGGGGCATGTAAACTCACTTTGTGACCTTGGGCAAGTCACACTCTCTCAGCCTCAGAGAATGACAATGGCAAACTGCCTCTGAAGAAACATGCCAAGAAAAGCCTGTGATAGGTTTGCCTTAGAGTTGTCATAAGTCAGAAATAACTGGAAGGCATACAACAACAACAAATGCTAAAATGTGGGGACCAAAGGGAAATTTCATGATAGAGGAAAGAATGTACTTATCCCTCATCCCTTTTAGGAACATGTGATGTGAGCCACATCCATCTGCATTTCAGGTGAAAAATCTAGGACTAAACCTGATGATGCAGCTTCATATAAATATTATCAGTGAGAGTGTTTTGATCAAAGAAAGCAAAAATAAACTTGACTTTATACTAACCCACTCCCCCCCCGATGTAGGATCTCTAGTTCTGTGAAGGTAATTCCAACCCTAACCATATTTTGAATGAAAGACCTAACTATGAAGCAATATTGTTGCTGATCATCTCTTAGAGTATAAAAAGACACATATTTGCATATATTATGAATTTAAAGGCACTTTTTAAATGGCTCATTGTGTAGTGTTGAGGCTGTGCTAAAGAGCCCCATCTGGATACCAGTTTAAAACAAGCCTGATGGCAACACCTCATGGATAATTTTGTGGTGGTACCAGCTGGTAGGCAAAACATTTTTTTTTGTTTTTAATATGAGGTGATGGCAGAGTTCCTGGGAGAACAATTCTGAAGCAAGGTGAATAGTGTGACCTTCTTGCTGCAGTTTAAATCTCTGGAAAGCTAGCATTTTTATTTTAGCAGAGCTTGAGAAAGTTCTTTGGGGAGGGGGGCCACAAATCCAGAATTCACCCCAGACATACATGCCAGGGAATTCCAGGAGCTGTAATGCAAAAGCTTTTTCAAGATTTGTTTTTGGAAATATATACCATTTAGCTAGAGGTGCATGAGGAATTTGACCTTGTCTGGATTTGGACATGAACTGATCTGGTCTGCACATCCAATGCTAAAATGAAGACTGAAGCATAATTATCCTTCTGAGTTTGTAATTCTGTGTATATTGAAGTGCAGTTTTCACTTAGGAATTCAGAGTTAATAAGTGCATGTGCAAGAGAGAGTGTGAGAGAAAACCAAGATATGTTTGAAAAAAATTAAAGGATAAAACACAATTAGAAATTCATATATTTATAGAAAATATATTTATAAATGTGCATTTCTATGTGATATCTTCAAATATGTAAATTTAAGTACACATTTGTATGTCAATTTTGGTTATTTTTGGGGGGGAGGGTAAGTTGTTGTTGTTGTTTTTTTTAATCACATAGCAATTTTAAATGAAATTTATACACACTGGAAACAAAGGCCAAGAACAAGTAAAGCTGGAAAAGTTAAAGTTATGCCAGTATACTCACGCAGGAGGGCATGAAAGGCAATGGCTGTCTGTCAGACAAGGTTGAGAGAAAATGTTTTCCTGAGCACAGTCCCACAAAAATCGGTGTCCATTTGGTTGAGAGGGACAGAACTGCAGCCTGGGAAATTCTAGCAGCCACAGCACAGCTGAGCAAGAACCAAGGAACTACTGGATACCTCCTTATGCAGCATCCAAAAAAGGAAGCTACTCCAGTATAATCCCTCAATTGCACCAGTGTAAATCACCAAGTGGGCTCCAACCAGAATGACCCACCTACACTTAGATCTAACACTGTCATGGATGCTCATTCAGTCCATTCACAAGACCTTCTTTCTGATGTAAAACATACAGCTACAACCAGACCATATGTTGGTTTTTGTATATGTGAGAGATTTGTCATCAAAGGTAGGAAGAAGTGATATGAGGGAATGAGAAACCCATAAATGGAGAAAGGCAGGATTGGAAATTGCTACAGCTCAGGGCTAGGGCACATGGTTTGCACAAAAGATGTCTCATCTCATGGTCAATCCATGACATTTCAATGTAGAGAGGGAAAAATTCCTTCTGAATCCTTGGAGAGCTGCTGCCAGCCATGGTAGATAACTCCAGGCTAAATGGACTCATTGTGTCTTGGACTTCTTTGACAATAATGGAAAGGATAGAAGTAAAATATAAGTACAAATCTCCTATTACTGAAAATGATAATTAACATTCTTTCTTTTCCCACCTGATTTTTTTTTTTTTTTTTGCCCATGTTTTCATCCTGCCTGAAGTTCTGAAACTCACTCCCATAACTCCTGGTGCCATGAGTTTTATTATTATTATTATTATTATTATTATTATTATTATTATTATTATTATTATTATTTTACCTTTACTGTGAAACATTTGACCATAGCTGTTATCCCAAGTCAAGCTGGAGAGCTTTTTCCTGTGACATGTAAAGAAAACTTGTTCAGCTCAAAATTATGTATGAGAAAACATGTGTATAGTTGGGCCACCTGAACATTTAACAGTATTTGCACACATTCACATTATTCTCTCCTAGGAATATAATGCTTCACTAAATTACTGCTTGAAGGATGCAGCAAGTAATTTTAACAATTTTCTTCCTGTTGCAAGAAAGTCTTCAAAAACCACACAGTTTTCAAAGCTCATTCACAATCAAAGATTTATTCTATGCAAAATTCACACATTTGCCCAGAAAACAACATTTTGTGTTTTGGGAATAATATCACTGCATAGAAATAATATTTTCTGGTCAGGAAATGCTGTCGTCTGTGCAAAACAACCACATGTAAATTTTGTGCACAGTAAGTCCCCAATGGCAAATGTTCTCATCAACCCAACATTCTTCTCATAGGATTTCTCAATAATGAAAAAAAAAAGCATATTTTTTCAACTACTTGATGAATATTTTCAAATATTCTTTCAATCCCTGCTATCCACAGTACTCCCACCCCTTCTTTTTCTCTATTTTTTAAGTTTTACTTCAGCTTCCTCTCTCATCTCCTACCTATTTGTGGCCTACATTCTACATGTAGCATGTTGCTTTAGACAGGGACCTCCCCATTGTTTTCTTTTTATTATTGTGTAAGGTGCCTTGTAGAGTGATAATAACTGTTTCTATGGCCAGAATCCTGCTTTTTTTTTGTTTTGTTTGTTTGTTTGTTTGTTTTTAGGAATATGAAAGTGGTTGGATATTTTTTTCTCATATGGAATGGCTACATTTAGTTCAAGGTTGCTGAAGTGGATTTGTGCAGGCAGTGCCTTTGTGAGTGGCACATGGGTCCACACTGCGAATTGCACCCACATGACCATGCACATTTGGTGTTCATTTGGCTTCAAAATTGGTGTCCAGGTTGAGTTGAACAGCATTGTCATTCAGCCCAATAGTTGTGTAGCACACTCAATAAATAATGCACAGATTGACACTGCACAATGGGTATTACCTGGATCAGTTTCATTACATAGCATGACTTATTTCCCCCATTAAATATTAGGCCAAAATCAATTTAGCATCCTGTACAGCAGTGGTTTCAATTTTGGTCCTCTAGGTGTTTTGCACTTCAACCTCCAGAAGCCCCAGCCAGCCTGGTCAACAATTAGAAATTCTGGGAGCCAAAGTCCAAAACACCTAAAGAGCCAAAGTTTGAGAATCACGGCTGTAGAACATCCTCTCTTTCTGGGATCTGTTGGCATGTTATTCTCAGAAGACTTCTGAAGGCAGTGGTTTCGATCTTGCCCTTCTACAGGGCCCTCTCTTTCCCATGAATATTGCCCTTTCTCTCTCTCTCTCTCTCTCTCTCTCTCTCTCTCTCTCTCTCTGTGCAAACACTGGTATCACAGATCCTTCCAGACAGCTTATCTGTATCTTCATTTATGGTGAGCTGCCTTGGGCATCTTTCTTTCCTCTAATCTGTCCCCCCTCCACCATTTATGCTGGTACAGCTGCTGATCCTCCTGGTGCCAAATCTGTGAGGGGTTTGCTGCATACTGA